GTGCCCCCCTATTTGAAGCAAAAAAAATGTCAACATAAAATAAACTTTTTTGCCCATTGCTTTCACACTTGACATTAATATCAAGATTAGACTTCTTGGTGCATTCACTAGTTTACACCTAAAACTTTACCAAAGATTCAAAGCTAACTGGAATTTAAAAAACAAAAAAAGTAAGCAAATGATTAAGCCTTGCTTGTTCGGTTTCTCTTTTACGTGAATTTGAAAGGATGTTTCAAGGTTTCTATCTGTACTTTGCTTATTTCATGTCTGGACTAGAATCACAAGTAACAAACATAAGGTGTGCTCCTTCAATAGCTTCAAACAAGAAAAATTTACTGACTGGACATGTTAAAGCTCCATCTCTCCCTTTAACTGCAGGTATTGTTTACCACACAGGACACGACTTTAAAAGCAATTAGGCAAGCTTCTTTTCTGACAATTAACAGTACAATCATGCAAGACTGGTAATGTCTGACAGCACGGAAAATCACATGCACATATCCATACAGATTATGCATGCCAATGGTAATGTGCTTCTAATGGTTTTGCCATTGACATTTCAGTTTCAAGGAATACTAAACTAAAGCAAACTAACTCAATAACCTAAAACCACATGTATTCTCAAATATATAGTTCTATCAATCAATTTGCAGAACTCCTCTTTTTATGTGAAAGTGCTTTCTATTCATCATGCCTGAGCATCCGTTATCTGTCGAAGAGGAGATCCACCACCAATTGAAGCATAGCCTTCTTTACTCTTCGGTGCTCTGACAACAGATATGAACTGTGCTAAAGGCTTCTGAAGAAAGCGAAACAATCTTGGCAGCCGGATAATGTCCTAGCCAATGGCAAGACAATCCCAAGAAATCATTTCATACCTCCAAGAAAGGTAAAGTAATCTTGGTTTTAGTAAGTGCAAATACTTTTCCGAAGATTTCTTCTGCTCAAGTTATATAGTTAAAACGTCACTAACTTACTGGATCAGCGAAGAGGTTAAAGAGAAATGGTTGCACATCTTCAAGAGTCTCTGGCCCTCCAAGATTGAGTAGCAATACACCTATTCTCTCATCACCAATAACTGGCAGAGTAGGTACTTCTTCAGCTCTTGAAGTAACTAATGCTCCCATCTGTGATGAACATTTACGGGGTTGCAGCTCAGGACATATGGAATGTGTCTTTGACCATCCTGATGATAATCTTGTCACTGGAGATGTTTTTAACTGATTAGAATTACAAGTCGATTCCATTTGAACTCTGTAACAAGGACATATCCTTTGAGCACAGAAGCTAGCCCGTGGCAATAGCCTGTAATTACCATAAAAAGAGTTGATGGGTAAGCTTAAAAATACTTGAAAATTCGTTGGTTTTTTCCTAGTTCAAAGTAAGAGCACCAAGCTATTAGTACTTTATCAAGCTCAGGTTAGTAAGAGCATGAATTCTATTTGTCAACTAATCAAACCAATCCTGGACAAAAACCTAACATTTATCAATTTTCCAAATTCAGCTCCAGCTCAATAAACTTGTATATTACATATAAGTAAATTAAGGTACTCAATTTCAACTAGAGAACTCGTTGCAAGCTCAATCAAACTCAGCTCACACAATAATCAAGCAGAACTTCCAATAGAACATAAAGCTTGCTTTTTTAAAATCAAGCTAGGACAATATGTTGCTCCGAAACCAGCTCAGCTGCATAAGATCTCATTCGAGATTATTTCATCAACTAATCATTCGAGATTATTTCATCAACTAATCAAACTAAGCACGAACAACATTTACTATTCATTAACCTTCCAAAATTTTACTAATGTATGACTAGAGCAGCATAAAACCAAACATTTCCGCATAAATATGTCAAGCTGCTTGAACTCGACTCAGTAAAACTCATTCGAGCTCAAATTATGAAAAAAAAAAAAAAAAATCAAACTAACCTCAAACTCAATTTTAAAATTGAAATATAATAAAAAATAAACCAAGCTTGGATACTGTATTACTTGAAAGTTCCACTGGGATCCGCACATTTTAACCCTTAATTAATATCAACTACTTCTTCAAGCATCAGAAAAAAATTTCATGATACGGAAATAATAATTGCTATAACTATTGCTATATATATATATATATAAAGAAACAAGCAAAAGCAGAGATAATTGAAGGAAAGTTTAAAAAAAAAAGGAAGAAAAAAAATGTAAAGGTAAATTTCCAGAACTTACAGAGAAGGAGAGGGAGGTTGAACTCGAATATGCATAGTTTGGTTCATCACTGCAAATCGCTTCCGTTTAGACTCCGTGTGCCGGAGCGAGCTTAGCGCGGTGGGAATTTGTTGGGTTTGCGATAATTGTTATATGAAGTTTCCGGCAGCAGGATTTTCTCTTTTCGATTTTTCTTTGTTTTTACAAATTAGTTTATTAGTTTATTAATATATCCAGGCAAGCATCGTTAGCGTGGATGTTCACTGTTACATCTCCCGCTGCATATTTGTGGGTCTAAGAAATGTGCCACGTTTTCTTTGACTTATCCTATTCCTACAGAGCTACAAATCCCGCTTTCCCAGGAGAAATGATGTTAGTTTCGTTAATGTTTGACTTTTGTGCTAAATTAATCCTAATGTAATGAGTTTGTTTGGTTTGCACCTTATTTACACACATTCATTTACTTGCATCATCAATAATTTTTTAATTACATTTTTATCTCACATGCATTATATCAAAAAATACTATAATATTTTTTTCAAATAAATCTCCTATCCCAAATTATCCCAAATGTTTCGACCAAAATAAATATAATCAAAGTATTTATTTTAGGCATACTGAGAACAACTAAGAACGTACTGTCCATGGTGATTGCTCAACTGCACCATTTCTTGATTTCATGAGGAAATCTTTTCAAATACACTTTTAGCAAAAACTCAAAATTAGACTTTAAAGAATTGTGAAGTTTTTATCAATATAATGTCTTATGTTTCAAATAATCATATTTAAATTTTTCAAATGAAACAAAAATGAATTAAATTAAATGTATGAGGTATCCATTCTGAAATCCCTATAAAAAGGTCTGCAAACACACTTTGGCCCCGTTTTGGATTGTAATGCTTTTGGTAAAAAAGTGTTTTTAGGTGTTAATAGTACTTTTAAAATATTTGGTAAAAATCATCCCATAAAATTAGAAGTGGAGCTTTTAATGTTAGACTAGAGGAAGAGGCTGGCGCAATGCGCGAGAGTGAATGCCTATAGGTGCACTCTTTAAGATTTAACTTTCTAGCTGGCTCTTTTTGTATTTATGGTAGAATAGGGTGACAGCACAATGGAGACAACTTCATCAAGCAAAATGTGTAAATTTTTGCAAGTTTCATTGTCAATCCAATGAATTTCACTTGGTTAGCAAGTAAGATAAAGAAGGTCAGATAGATTGCAACACTCGCAAACATTGTAAGTCTCATTAGAGCACAACCTTGCAATCTTTGACCTTTCATGAACTCACTAGCTTTGTCTATTGCCTTTAGTCTAGACAAATTCTCTTCCATAACAGAAACCACAAGGCTCAACATCCACAAAGTAGAGATATAAATACAGTAGCACAGACCAAAAATTAGCAGTATGCAATGAAGAACAGTCAAGAGAGAAAAGACAGAGGTAGTAACTGAGAAACAACACGAATATAGTAGATAAGCACATCATAGTATTATAAACAACTGTGACAACCCCACCTTCCCCAAGGGCTCGGTGGACCGCCTGCCAACTCTCGTCAGGACTCACTGAAGTGAGTTCGAGTTCCATTGGGGCCAGTCACATGTGCACGGGCCAAGCGTTTCAAGGAGTCACTCCAAACCCTTGTGCGAAATGTCCAAGATCAACAAGGAGTCCATAGGGACATTGAAGGCTTGGATAATCAAGTTGTCTACGCGATGATCCAAGCCCATGAAGAATCAAATGGACCCCCAAGTGGGATGGCTGACTAGGTCTTAGGCCTTAGTGTTAGGTTTCAATTGTTTAGAGTTGGATTAGATTGTTTATTGAGTCATGGGCCGGCCCACCTTGTCCAAGGAGTGGTTGAACCCCCCTTACCTATTTCCCTTAGGTTTTCATTAGTCCCTTAGCCTATATAAAGGCTCGCTTTGTATGGTTAAAGGGTACACAATTTTGATAATAAAATTCTGATTTGTTTCTCTTTGAATTATTGAGAGCATTCAAACCTTAACTTGCTTGGCAAGGGTTCTTGAGCAATCTTGCGTATTGTCCTTGATTGTTCCACCGACCTATCCACTAGAGTATTCACCTCAATTGGAGACATCGTTCTACTACCTTCAATCAATTCATGTCGTCCGTTTTGGTTTTAGGTTCCACAATCCAAGCGTTGGATAACCTGACTAGATCTTTGTGCAAGCGTGCTACGTGTCTCGAAACGAGTTGATCGAAGACCGTATCAGTTGGTTTCAGAGCTTAGGTAGAGGTATCTTTCATTATATCCTTGTTTTTTGTAGTTGTGTCGTTAGGATTTTGTGTTATTTCTGCTGCATTATTCTAAAAAAAAAAATTCTGGTCATGTGTTTGTGCGTTGTGTTGTAGACAAATCTGTCCACAACTTGTTTCTTGCTTGTGAGTTGTTAGTGTGTCCCCTATTCTGTCCGCATCTTTGTTCTTGTGTGACGTCAAAATTCTGTTTGGTTAGTGTCTCATCGTTGTCAAGCATAATCTGTCTATTTTGTGTCCAGTTCGTGTCACAACATTCAGTCCATCATTTGTGTTCTATCGTGCATCTGAATCTGTCCACGGTTTTGTGTGCGCGTGTGGCTTACAAATTCAGTTTTGAACCTACCAAATCTGTTTTGTTCGAGTAGCCGTCGCTTGGGCAGCAAGAAAGTCGGCCTTGTGGCGGCTAGGGTTTCCTTCGTCATTAGGGTTTCGTGTGCACAAATCTGTCCAAGTTTATTTGCTTCATCCAAGTTGTTTGCTTAATTTTCAAAACTGAATTTTTGGTAAAACTAGTTGGTGTTTGTGAATCTTGAGAGAATCTACAAGATTTAAGGGCTTCTTGAGTTTTTTGATTACCATCTTGAAGTTCTTGAGGGAAGTCGAATATTGTTGCATGTTTTAGCCGAAACCAAAATCTGGAAACTTACATCCATTCGGCCAAGTGAAGTTTGTGTTTATTCATTGAGTCAAAAAAAAAAATAGAAACAAAAAAAAAAGTAAAGAAAGGAGAGAATCGGTTGACAAGGAAAACAAGAGATGCAAGTCGAATTTTATTGCCCAAAACAGTTTCTTACATCTTATTTCCAATCCAAAACAAAAAATTAAACAAGGAAAAGGAATTCAAAAGTTTTGACCCACCTCTTCTTGAAGTTCTTGAAGTTCTTGTGTCTTGAGAGCTTGCTTTACCTTTCAAAAAAACATCCTTTTGTACTCCCTTGCGGTGGTGAAGGGTTTCCTTGGTTTTGGAGTGAATTTCTTGGGGGCTTGAGTAGGGTTGTGTGCATCACCTTGGGAATTCTCCATTGATGTGAGAAACGTCCGAAACTGCCTTGGGGTTTCTTGCATGAAAGAAACAAATCTGACCTTGAGCTTGTGTATGTGAGTTTGGGTTTTTCCTTGGGAGTTTTATAGGACCACAACCGACTTTAGTGAAGGAGAAAAAAACTGATTTTCGGTTGGAGGAGTTGGACACAAAATCTGATTTGCAATTCTTATTGAAAGGAAATTTGGAAGCTCATAAAAGTTGTTCAAGAAAAGGTTTTCTAAAAGGTTTCCAAAACTAACTTGTTTTCCAAATTCATTTAGGAAACTAAGTAGGCTTCTTGGATAACTCTTTTGTTTTCACTTGGACACCCTCCTACATTTTTGGAACACCCTCCTACACTTTTGGAACACTGTCCTACATTTTAGGAACACTCCTACATTTTAGGAACCTAGATTTTCATTGAGATTCCATTCACATTAGCACCTCTTCCATTGCTGTCTGCCACTTGGAACCTTCCAAAAACCGTGTGTATTCCATTCTTTTCGCTTTCAATCTGTGTCTTGTTACTCGAATACTCTTGTGGAAAAGTTTGGAAACATTTATTGGACTTGTATGGCATTTCTCAACTACCTAATCCAACAGGTAAAGGTAATTGGTAAGATCATTAGAGTGCTTTGAGTGAACATACGAGAGTGAGTGAAACACTAAGGGAGTGAAGTAAGGTTCTATTTGCTCTATTTTCTTGTTCACTAACCTTTTGCAAGACTACGAGAGTGACATGGAGCAAGCTCAACCAACTAATGACTACTCATTGATGTTCACAGCCATGAAAAATGAGCTCACACGAATTAGTGAGCAACAAATGGAGGAATTGCACACTGGTTTTGATGAACTATCAAGAGTCTTACGAGGGACTCTCGTTGCAGATCGCACAATAGAAGTAACCATGGCACCAAAGGGTCACATAGTGATGAAAATTCGGCTAGTAAGGAGGAGGAGAGGGCCGAAAGGGCAAGGAGGGATACACCTAAGAATGAGATCAAGGGGCTTAAGATCCAAGTCCCCACATTCCGAGGGAAAAGCGACCCTGAGGCTTACTTGGGATGGGAAGGCCGCATCGAGATGGTTTTCGACTGTTATGACTATAGTGAGGAGCAAAAGGTGAAGGTTGCCACCATTGAGTTCACCGACTACGCCTTAGTTTGGTGGGACCAAGTAAGGACCCATAGAAAGAGAATGGGAGAACCACGAGTCCGAACTTGGCGAGAACTCAAGGCATTGATGTGCAAAAGGTTTGTTCCTAGCTACTACAACCGCGATCTCCACTCCAAGCTTCAAACCCTCATTCAAGGCAACATGAGTGTGGAGGACTACTACAAGGAGATCGAGATGGCCATGATAAGGGCGAACATTCAAGAAGATAGTGAAACGACCATGGCAAGGTTTCTTAGAGGTATCAACCCTGACCTTCAAGAAGCCTTGGAGCTCCAACATTACTTGGACATGCATGACTTTCTTGAACTAGCCATCAAAGCCGAGAGGGGAAAGAAACTGAGGCGAGGGGCCCGTACCTTCCAAACTTCCAACTTGACTTCATAGAAGGGCAACCAACCACGAAGAATGACCCACGAAACTAGAAATTCGGCTACACCAACTTCCTCTAGCCGAACTCAAGGTAATGCTCCTAACCGAAATTCCCATTTTACCCCTAACAAAGTTATTGATACATCCAGGTCCACTTCTAAGGCACCTAATGAGACTCCTAAGACTAGGAGTAGAGATATCAAGTGCTTCAAGTGTCAAGGATTTGGACACATCCAATCCCAATGTCCAAACCAAAGGATCATGTTAGTCACTCACAATAGAGAGATCGTGTCCGATGACGACGATTGTGAGGATATGCTTGGATTGATCAAGGGTGATTGCTTGGAGGATGACTCGACTAAGGAAGAATGCTCTCCT